TGAATTAAATTCAGTCTTGACCATGTTCTCATGGTCTCATCAGCTCCTAGATCTAGGATCCATAACTCCTATGGTTACCCAAGTTTGAGAGGTTTTGTCAAATGCTTAAGGATGACAGAAGGTGTGGCAACAGTGAACCTGGCTATAGCCTAGGTCCTAAGGGAAGATCTGTATTTCCAGATACAGATTTAGTAGTATTAAACGGAAGACAAAAGAGAAGTGATGACAGAGAGATGAGCGGAGAGGGGAGGGTACAATACACCTTTTACGGATCACAGCTTCCCTGGGTTTCACTGACTTCTGTCTCAATAACACTAATGGATTCACTTTGTTTCCACTGTATCATAACATACCTAATTAAATTTAGGAGAGCAACTGAGTGATAATGTTTATCTTTAGATGCATTCTTGGTTCATTTTCCCTAGCCATAAAAAGTTGTTATTTACATCAAACAGAGACAGCACATTCTAAAGAAAAGAGGAACATGGGCTTTAGAGTTCAATACCTTATCTCGCCCAGGCGTGGTGGCTCATGCCTGTAATCCCAGCAATTTGGGAGGCAGGCGGATAACTTGAGGTCAGGAGTTCAAGATCAGCCTAGCCAACATGGCGGAACCCTGTCTCTACTAAAAACACAAAAATCAGTTGGGCGTGGTGGCGGGCCTGTATTCCAAGCTATCTGGGAGGCTGAGGAAGAAGAATTGCTTAAACCCAGGGACCGGAGGTTGCAGTGAGCCAAGATCACACCATTGTACTCCAGCCTGGGTGATAGAGCGAGACTCCATCTTAAAAAAAAAAATGCTAAATTAAAGAACATAGATCGCCTTTTATTTGTACATAACAACAACAACAGCAACAAAAGCCACACATACAAAACAGACAGGAAATGAAAAAACTGAAAATTCAACTGTTATTTCATATGGTATACATTTCCTTATGAATCACCAAAATGTGAGTTAAGTACCAAAGAATCAGAATAAACCCTTCCTCATGATTGTTGGCCAAACTTCTCCTCAATATTAGAGAATTTTCTGAACTCCAATATGACTTCTTGAGAGTGATAAGTAACCAAGTAATAATGTTAAGTCCCCAACATTAAGAGTTTTGGCAACAAAAACAGAAGGTTAATTCTACTTAAAAGACAGAGAAGCCCTGCTAGTGATGTTACCAAATTAGGTACTGCCCATGGCTCTTATCTAGCTTTTATTGAGATTTAATGTCATTTACCCCTGCCTTTCATGAATCTGCTGTATAACCTCACCTTTTCTAATGTCTGTTACTTCCAACCATTTCAACACAGCAATTATGAACCTCTGGTTTTTAAAATGATTAAGAAACGAATCCCACATGTGATATAATTTGAGTCTTCCATAGTCCCAGAAAATTCAGAGATCAGCATATTTCTTGTTTTCAAGGTATACTATAGAAATACTCTGAGATTTGATATATTTATGTAAACATTTTCAAAGCAGTCAAAATGTATAATTCAAGAAAATGTTCTGTGAAAGAATTTGTTTTTTGATTATAAAATGATTTCCTGCTTTTGAAAAAAATAACAATTTTGTATTTACTTAGCTGGCTCTGAAGGTCCAAAGGAGATTATCATTCCTTTCAATCCCTAACATCTCTTTTCCAGGTGCAGGCTTTTTAATGATTTCAAAGGTAGCTTTATGTGGAGAAGGAATCTAAAAGCTATAGAAAGGAAAGAGAAAAAGAGCCCTCCCCAACTTAACCCCTATGTTTTCCCCATAACAAACCACAGGATGGACAGAACTAGGATAACACAGGTGTAGCACTCCAAAGAACATGCCAGAAAGACTTTCCGCATCTCTTCGACTTCTTTTTCTCAGACAGGGTAAACCAACCTTGATAAAGACAGGAATCTGTCCGACAAACATGAGTATGATACCCAACGGCCACATTTGCTGGCTTTTATTCAACAAGCCCTTCATCTCACCAACACTTAGGAACAAGAGCAACTGCCACAACACCCCAGAGTTATAGGGTTTTAACCTTTCCACGGGATTTCACATTTTATCTAGCAGAAAAAGTAAACTTAAGAATATCAAAAGCAGCCCAGAGACAGAGAAAACGACCATGTTTTGTTGCTGGGCAGACTGGGGAAGCACAGAAAGACCTGCCAGTAGTGGGTGTGGGAAACGAGGCTGGGAGGCTCATTTGCACAACTGTGAGAGAGTCCAAGAAGCAACTCAACCAAACTACTTGGACAAAGTTCAGCCACAAGTGGATCTTCACTAAAGAAAATCTGATGGCTGATCCCCTGGACAAGCTAGGCCTTCCTTCTAACTCCGATATGGTTCACGCTTTGAAAGGGCTGTTCTACATTGCTCATCATTCCAGCCCTGCTCTTTTGAAGCAGCAGCAGAGTCTGACACAATCAAGAGACGTAAATTGCATGACAGAGCAAATGATAATCTTAGGGCCACCATGGTCCATCTTTAAGACTTAGACAATAACCCCTGCCCCTCTCTTCATCACAGAGATGTAGTGAGAACTCAAGGGAGCTGAGTGCTCATGAATTTATACTAAAGAAACCACCTAAGACTCATAAGGTATATAACACAGACTAGATGATCTCAAACTGCAGTCTGGGCCTATGCAATCTTTTCAAGGGGTCCACAAGACAAATTATTTTCAAGTGATGCTAACAAAATAGTTTCCTCTTTTGTTCTCAGTCTCTCAAAGTGTACAGTGGAGTTTACCAGAGGCCACAAGGTGTGTGATGAAGTCATTATTTTTTTGACTAACGCAACATGTGCTTGTAAGTCCTCATGTTTTAATATTTTCTCAAGTTTCTTTTCCTTTTTTTTTTTTTTTTTT